TATGACATCCAATATCAATATTTATCTATATTTAAATATTTTAACAAATGTGGAAGAATGTTTAAATTGACACATGTTTAGTAAAATTGTGATATGAACATGACTTAGGATGAAAGAGAGAGTATTTGGTGTTTAAATGATTGTAATGGATACAAATGGCCTTATGCAGTCATAACTGTTTTTATCAGTTTTCATAGGCCAAGACATATATGGGAAAATCCAAGGGCAAACATACAGATACACTCCCTGCAATTTAAAGCCAGAAAACATTATAGCCATGTAAATTATTTTACCTCATTTATGTAGATATCGAAATTTAATATATTATTAATTAGTGACTATTTATATTTTTTATATAAATTCAGAATAATTAAAATATTTAACTAAGTAAACATTTTTTTTATCCACCAAGTTAAATCTTAGGATAAAGCAAGAGATTATATCAATTAATGAAGGACCAATCAAAATGATGTCTCGATCTTGAAGACCTCTTTCTTCTAAACCACCTATAAATAGGAGCTCTCCTCAAAGCTAAAAATCACACCTCACAATTCAAGTCTCAAATTCAAGGGCTCTCAAGAACTCTTTTGAATATCTAAATGCGTTCTTGAAGATTTGAAGGTGTTCTGCAAGATTCAAGATACTCAAATTGAAGATAACCGTTCAATCCGAGATCAAGCGTCCCAGCCTCAAGTGCGTGTAATGGAGAAGACTGATGTATGGGTTTCTGGTTGAACCGGTCGGTCCAATCCAGTTTTTAGAACATTGGTAATAACAGAACATTGGTAATAACACGAATCAATATGTTACCGCAACTACTAATCAAACTCGAGACATTACTCCACAAACATTTTATCTCAAATGAAAGAGTTGTGGACCTGGCCAAGTTGCTTGTGCATAGAATCCCCACTAATATTCTTAGCAAAAACTTAAAGAACGTGCTACCTGGGGATTGTACTATTGAAGTGAAGGTTTTTATGATGCTCATTCTCCTGCATTTCTTCTTTGTATAAAGTTTTATTTGGGCATTCGCTTGGTCTAGAGTGATCACTACACAATCCCCTGATGACGCCATTGAAAGTTGTTACTTTATCAGGTGCGTATCAAAGTGAACACATATTCTGCCTTTGCAATTTATAAAAGTCAGCAAGAAGCAATTAAAGCTTTTCGAGAATCTTGAAGGTGATCTTGAAAAGTTTTGTTGTTCCTTGTTCCTATGCTCTGTGGATGGTGTTTTCTACAAGGGCTCTGAAAGAAATTCAACTTTTTTTCCCCTCCAATCACACTATCCCTCGTACCTTGATCTCGACGATTTACTTAAGCTCCCAATTACCGAAACATACGAAGCATAGTCGAGAACGAGCCCTTTGGCACCACGCAAAATACAAACATCCTTCGCTCTCGCATTTTTGCAGTGCCCTTCCAATAAAATGTTATACGTGACATCATCAGGCACCACCCCTATAGTCATCATCGCATGCAGAAGCATATCCGCGTTTTTCATCTGCCCCAGCTTGCAATAACCGTTCATCACAACATTATAAGTGACAACAGATGGCACACGATTGTCCCTCTGCATCTCACTCAACAACCTACAACCGTTCCTAATATCTCCATTCTTACAAAAGCTATCAATGACCATAGTATATGTTTCGTCATCGGGCCTCATCCTGGCCCGCAACATCTCCCTCATCAATATTTCCGCATCGGGGGCCCGCCCCTCGTGGCAAAGGCCCGAAATGAGGGCCGTATAAGCCACATCATCGAGAGGGATGCTTTCCTTGACCATTTCGTCCCTGAGATTGAAAGCGGACTCCAGATCTCCTCCCTTGCAGCTGCCATCTATGAGGGACGTGTAAGTAATTTTGTCAGGCTTCAACCCTTTGGCCCACAACTCATTTACAAGTTCTCGGGCTTCCTTCATGTCGCCCCTGCTGCAAAGCCCGTTGATAATCGTGTTGTACGTGATGAGATCGGGTGAAAGGGACTGAGCCAACATTTTTTCGTAAATCTCCATAGCCAAATCGACACTCCCATTCTTGCAGTGGCCGTCGATCATTGTGGTGAAAGTAACCTTATTCGGAACCAAACCGTTATCAAGCATTTCATCAAACAGTTTACCTGCGCGGGCCATTCTCCCCTCCTTACACAGCCCATTTATGAGAACGCTGTAAGTGTAAACGTCGGGCCGGATTTCCCAGGCCCGCATTGCATCCTTCAGCCTAAACCCTTCATCTAAATCACCCATCCTAACATGACCATTCATTAAGGTATTGAAGCTCACAACACTAGGCCTTAAACCCCACTTTGTAATCCCATGAAAAACAGAGGAAGCCAGCTTCATCTCACCTTGAATACAAAATTTGTGCATCAAAATGTTGAAAAAATACAAACTTGAAGGGTACCCACATCCTAGTATCTCCTCGTAGAACTCCCAGGCCATCTTGTAAGACCTCAATTTCACCAAATGTTCGAGTAATTTCTTGCAGGCATCAAATGGGATTCTAAATCCATGCTTTTTGGTCAATCCAAAGCATTGAATCGCATCATCTATAAAACCCGATTCAAGATAAACACTCAATAATCCTGAAAAGACATAAATGTCAGATTTGAGGGTACCTCTGCTTTCAAGAAGTGCTGCAAAAACATCGGCAGCCGAGTTTTTCCCTTTTCTCGACACCAAAACTCGGAACAAACCTCTGGCCTCGACGAACATCCGGTGGGTGCAGAGAAAATGGACCATGGCGCAGTAAGAACGGAGGGTGTGGCGGAAGGTGGAGTTGGCGGGAGACGAGAGCCATGTGAAGAAAGAGAAGAGAGAGGGTGGAGAGAGCGAGTGAGGATTCGAAGTGATTAGGTTAACGACGTGGCGCGGCTTCAGAGAAGGCAGAAGGTGTTTGATGGAGGCTTGGAGGGGTTTTGAAGGAGAGTTCCGTATGGCCTGAGAAAGGGTGGTTAGGATCGGGTCGGGTTCTTGGAGGTTAGGATTTCGGGAAGACGGCGGCAGATTGTACCAGGCGGCGGCGGAGTAGTGGTGGCCAAGTGGAGGAGATGGGAGGAGGTGGAGGAGTGATGGTCCTGAACTGTTTTTTGTGGCCATATGGGGAGTTTGGGCTTTTGATTCTTCGATATACAGACTATAGATTGTTTATTTGGGCTGAATAAGGATTTTCCTTCAGCTAGTTGAACAGGTCGTTTGGGCTTATAAGTTAACTAGAAAGTGATTTGTAAATCTTAATTTAGGCTAAAATTTGAAAAAAAATTATAATATGGTAAAATTGTTACTTGCCCAAACTAAGAATGAAATGTATACTAAGAGAAAAAAATAATAAAATTTAAATATACACTTACCAAATTTAAAAAAAAATAAAATATCTACGTCTAATATACACTTACGAAACATATATTTTGACATGTCAGCATTCGAAACAGGAGAATCTATCATTTAGGTTTAATATGTTTTGAATTAATACATATAGAGGAACAAATTCAATATAGACAGTTTCATTAAGCTCATATTCATGATTTATTGCAAAGCGAATAGAAAATAAGAGAAAAGATTTCTTTTCTGAAGGTAAGGAGAAAAAGTATTTAAATAAAACTTTAAAAAACTTAGATACTTACTTGTCCCACAAGACTTAATAAAAATTAACTGATAGAAAAATAATAAATAATTAAATTAATACCAACAGACGCGATCATGTTTCTCCAAAAAATGCTAAGGTCATCTCATCGTCATCAATAGAAGACGACAACTCATGCAAACGGTAGATCTCTCGAAAGAAAAGTTGGGCCACATGAACAACACCAGTCGTCCGTTTTAGTGATTTCTGATCATAATACAAATGTATCTTCAATATCAATGTTCAAATTTAAGATAAGAAGATCAATTGCAATTTTTCTTATATTTTGACATAAATTAGGCTATCGTTACAACTGTAAGAGACTCAAATTGTATTTGCAGCTCAACATAACCAACTATTATAATTTTGGTTTAGTAGTCTCGCTCTGAACTTAATATGTATTCCTCGTATTTGTGCAGACAAAGATATTCTAAATAAATGTTTATAGCGTCAATTTGATACGAGAATGTCACTGCGAAAATTCAGTTCATTGGTGAGTATTTTCTCGGCCTGCGATTATCAAACATAGCCAAAAACCTTGAATACCAAACCAAACTCAATAGCTCAAAACTTAAACAATGCTCGACTTGAACGAAATTAGTGCTTCAAAATAGCTAAAATACTCAGCGTCGTTTATCAAAAAGAAATGAGTCGAGTTCGCGATTTAGCGAACCAAGTCAAGATCGGATTCGATTCACATAACACGTCATAACTGTAAGACCGAATTGATGTCAATCATTAGTCCAACAGGCACAAGTTTATTAGAATTAATTATCAATTTTGATTCAAAGTCACTCTTTGATTGATATGATTATGCTTTTTACACATAAATGTTGTATGTATGATTCTCAAAGTGAACATAAGATATAGTTGTACGTTTCTCTGGGCAAACACTGCAAGAAAATGAAATTCAAACGAAAATTTCTAGTGAAATTCCAACGACGATCAAATTGATATTCTAATGCTATCATTTTAGTTGTAACTTTCCAACGAATTCCAATAGAAACTCTTACAAAAATATTAATTGAATTGTATTTTCTATTGAGATTTCTGTTAATTTTTTATGATTCCAACAGTGGATTTTCACATAAATGTTTATCTAGTTATGAAATATCCACTTATAGAATCAAATCTACCTATATCATTTAAAGATTTCAATTCTAAACTTTTCATTCTTTAACTACATATGGTACTTAGTAATTAAGAATGAAAATTAGTTTACATTTAAGACTGACCTAATGAGTAACAAATCTAAATATTCATCAGTACAGATGACATTTCTAAAAATGCTTATGCATCACATAACCAAATAAATCAAAGATTAGCTAAATAACCTCCTATCCAAAAACACCACTGCCAACTAGTTATATCCATTTATTAGGCCCACACGCGGCCCCACGGCCACGGCCGACAGTTGGCGACATCCACCACCGCCACACGGGCTTTTTCCGGCCGCGGCCTTTGTACCGCCACATCATCACTCGACGAGCCACACGACACGAACCCTTTCGCATGAGTAGTATTCTTCTTCTTCTTCTTCTTCTTCTGGCCGACAACTAACTTATTGGAAACTCGATCGGTTTGCTTTGCGTGACTCGACTCGATGTAATGCTCGAGATGTCTCGATATCCTCTCGATCTCATAGTTATCGAGAAGCGAATTTTGACCAGACTTACGACTACAACTAGTTAATGATATTACGCTAGGCGATTTCGAATTGTAATTGTACTCTATTTCTTGTACATTATTTCTTAGGACTTCTAGCTTGTACCTTGATGGTTTCGGCTCGATTTTCGGCCTCGAAGCGTCGTGTTCGCGGACGAGCCGGCCGTTGGATTCGGGTCCGTGTTGAAGCCAAGCCCATGCAGCGGATTTGGCCAAGGCCAATTGGTCAGCCATGATTAATGTCTTCTCCTTCGATTTTCTTCTATGATGAGAGGTGGTTTCAAATTGGCGTTGGTTGGTGGGTGGAATTTAATAGTTGTTGAAAGGTGTACATAAATATGTGGGAAAATTGGGTTCCACGCTGTTTATTGGTACGTTTGTTTTTGTGGTTATAAGATAGGGCAATGGAAAAATATAGTAGAATTATTCGAAAATTTTAGTAGCTAAATGCGGGAATATTTTAACTATTGGATTAAGTTTCAACAGTTTGTGCCGAATTCTATGTGTGATGGTTTACGTTTCTAACAGTTTTTTAAAAAAACAAAAGTAAAATATGGAGTATTGTTTATGTCGATAAGTTCGAAACTTGCGTAGAATCTGGGGACGAGTAATTTGAATTTTGAGCTTTTCTTGTAAATGGATTTTTAAGTTTAATGATGATTGTGTATGTGTCTTGAATCTTGATTCCATCATTTGATCGAAATTTTGAATTCGTGGGTCACTTGATTTGGACCGTGTTGGGACATTATTGTGAAACGGAGGACAAAACGAGTGCGGTCCTACACAGTGAAGCGCATTATTAAAGGGTTAGCCTAAATAAAGCTCAAGTAAAGTTCTATCCCAAAATCAATTGGTGATGGAGGAGTAGCCCACTAAACTTATAAACTAAGCTCATTTATCCTATCAAATTAATGTGGGACAACTCACAAGTGATATTCCAACAATTATGACCAAAATAGTTCATTATATTTTAGAATTAATGTCCTAAAATTGATAAAAATTGCAACATAATGTACTGTTTTTTTATAAGTAATGTCCTAAAAAATGATACAAGTTCATTATTTTCTTTTTTTTATGAGTAATGTCCTAAAAAATGATACAGGTTCATTATTTTTTGGGATTAATATTCTAAAACTGATACAAATTGCAACATAATGTACTGTTTTTCATAAGTAAATGTCCCAAAAATGACACAAATTGCGACATAACATACTATTATTGACCAAGAGAAACAGTGTGCCAAAAAAGGATTTTAGACAAGTAAACGACCAAAATTGAATTTTTTTCCTTAATATTATCAATATGATTAAATAATATCATTCAATCATTCTTATACATTAGATCAACTTTAAATCAATGTTCATCCTCTCACATGATTTTAATTAACCATCATTTTACATCATCTCTCTCATTTCTTTTACATCAAATTAATTTTAATTATTTTATTTCAAATATTATTTTAGTATAAACTCAAAATTATACTAACCGTGCAATTTTTATTTTTATTTTTCAAAATTAACCATACAAACTAAAAAATCTAAAAAAAAAAAAGAAAAATCAAAATATTGTCATATCAGTTCTGAGGGAATGTTTATTTCTTATTTATTAGATCAAAATTATGATCAACAGTTGGATAGAGTTTTAGATGTAATAATTAACAATTATTTATGCTGTTCGTTCAACGTAACTGAATAATTCATAGCTTATAATTATTTGTCCAAACATTTGTAATTCCAAATGTAAATCTACTTTTGTTAACATAATTATTGAACTATTGCCCCTAAGAAGATGGAATATGCACAAGAATAGGAGTCTAAGATTATCTCTAACTAATCTTTATATTTGTAATCCAAAGATAAAGTTCTTTGACTAGTTCCTTTGCAAATTAGTATCTGTATTATCGGTTTTGTTGTGAAGCCAACAGTTGACTTCATAGTGGAGTCAACTTTCTATATACAACAAATAAATCTACCATATTAATAAAATTATATTAATGTTATTTAAGTAATCAGAGAATATGGTAGGTTTACTTGTTGTATATAGAAAGTTGACTCCACTATGAAGTCAATTGTTGGCTCCATAACAAAACCGTTGTATTAGTATTACTATTATCAAATATTAAGAAAACACCAAAACTCTTCAAATAGCGCTTTATTTATTCTCTTATTTCTTTGAAAGAGTTGGCCTTGTTTAGTAGTCAGTTAGTTGTTACCTGTTAGCTCATTGTAATAGTTGTTTTTACCAGCGGATAGTAATAGTGGTTTTCAAAAATATGTTTGGTAAAAGTAGCTTATTGATTCGTAAAAATATATTTGGTATTATTAACTTGAAAATTATTTTTATATTTAATACTATAAAATATGTAGAAAAAATATTTATCATATTATTGATAATTAAAATTATTAAAATCAATATATATAAAGGAAATACTATAAAATATGTATATGTAAAAAATATTTACAATACATTAATAATTAAAATTTATTTTATATGCTATTTTTAATTAACTCAACGACAGAGTACTCGGCTTTTAAGTGCGGCTAGAATCTTTTATACATTTGGATGAAGTGAGGAATTCGTCCATACCGTTGGTAAAGTTTGAAAGGTATTTTTACAATACATTAATAATTAAAATTTATTTTATATGCTATTTTTAATTAAACTAATAATATTCTTATTTATGAAAAAATGTACTAATAATTCCAGGGGCGAGGCTAGAAAATTAGTTGAGATGGGGCAAAAGACATGACATAATGGGTTCAAAACCAATATCGAACTGATAACATTTCGGTAACCGATAACATTGCGGTAACCGATTTTCGATTACCGTTATATATAAGTCGATTTGGTTCGATTTTTGATTTTCGGTCAAAAAATACCAGCCCTAATACCAGCTCTAGCCTGGACAATAAAAGAGAGTTGAAGTCTTTTATATGGGTTAATTAAAATTGTAGAAGGATAATAATTAATATATAAAATTAATAGTAAAATAAAAGAAGTGTTGACATGCTAATTGACAATTGTGGACAAGTTGACCTGGTGAGTGAAAAATAAAAAATTAGGGGGTGCAAAAATAAATTTAAAGGAGGGACAAATTAAAATTTATAATATTAATATTAAAAAATTAAAATTTGAGGGGGGGCGCCGTTATCTGTGTTCATTCCTAAAACCCTTAAATATAATACTTTGTGTGTGTTGCATTCATAGTGTGTGAGGCGTGATAGTCATGTCACATGTGAGTGCTCTGTGTGTAGAGTGGTGTGTGCTCTGTGTGAGTAAAACCCAATTAATGGGTCTTAGGGGTTATAACAGAGAGTAGTGTACGCATTTATTTGAGAAAGAAAAAAATAGAGAAGGGAGGATATAAAATCATAGACTACTTTGTGTATCTCCTTCGTGGTGATTTTGTTCTCTTACGATTTGTATTTATTTCAGTCAGTTATTATTCCGAACAGTTCATTTGTTGTCTACTCTTCTATTTGCAGGTGCTGTTCGGGGCTGATTGTTGCTGTCCAGACTGTCGCTGCTGATCGAGGATTGCTAGATTGCTGTCAGGGTTCATTTGACTACTGCCTGAGACTGATCGAGATCAGCTCGGGACTAACCGGGGTCTGTTCGGGCTCTACCGGGCTGCGCGTTAACTCCGAAGATTGATGCCACTTCAAACGATGCTTCGACGGGCGGATACCCAACAGTGGTATCAGAGCCTGGTTCCCGTCCGTTTGTCGCTCCATTCCACACGTTGGTAAGACGAGCACCTATCGAATAGGGCTCGCTCTGGTAAATTAGTTTGACCTTTCTTTTACTGTTTTCGTAGAGTAGCCCCTTGCGGAGATAGTGGTTAGCTGCAGTCCCTTGCCGGGAATTTATTTGTTGAGAACGTGCAGGTAGAATTTTAGGACCTTTGTGATTTACTGCTTTTGCGGGAGGTTCCAGCTGCATGTTTATGTGACTTATTGCTTTCGTAGTAATATTTCGTTGTGTATATTTTCTTTGTTCAGTTTGCTTTGGATTTTTTTCTGTGCGAGTCGTATATATGATACTTTGGTCGTTGGCATATTTTCTGTGTGAAATTTGCTTCGTTGCGATTGTTTCTCTGTGAAGCTTGATTTGTTCTATTTTCTTTGTGAAAAATTCTTTGTGTGTTTTTCGAAAATGGGCTCCGTGTCAGTTTTTAGATTTGTCCCGTTTGATGGAAAATCTGTATCATTTGGCAGCAGAAAATGAAAGGTATTCTTGTTCAACAAAAGGTGTTTAAAGCTATTGACCTTTCTCATTCTGCAATGTGTCGGTCGAGAAAAAGGCCGAAATTGATGAGTTTGCTTATTCTTCGATTATTCTGAACTTATTTGACTTTGTGTTACGAAACGTTGGTAAATTGATGAGAAATTTTTCCGTTCAAACTTGATTTGTCTAAAGATATGAATGATAATTTGGATGTGTTTACCAAACTTGTTCAGCATATTGGATATTAAACAAACTGGTGATAAGCATATTGATGATTATACCCCTATTATGCTCTTGAATGTATACCTGATTTTTACTGTGATGTGAAATTTGCTATTAAGTATGGTAGAGATAATGTGAATCTTGAAACTATTGTGAATGGTTTGAAAATTAAAGAGCTGAATTTGAAAACCAACAGGGGTAGTGAAAATGTCGGTGAGGTTAGGGGAAAACCTCAAAATCGTTTACAAAATGAGAAATCTCCGGCAAAGAAAAATTTTGGCCAAAAGAAGGGTAAGTGGAAAAGTAGGTCGAAGTCTCCGTAAGTGTTATAATTGTGGTGAAATTGGTCATTACATGAATGATTGCAAAAAAAAAACCAGCATGATCATGCGAATGTGGCATCAAGTAGTGAAAACCTTGGTTTCTATTTCTATCTCTCGTCCTCCATACCAATCTTTTCTCAACAGATTTCTGTTTCAGCTTTTAAACCCTCCAAAGCCGTGCTCTGTGAAGTGAGTCGTGAATAAATTTAAAAGGTGTTGTGTGTGCTTTAAGTGGCTAGGTGCCTTAAAAATAATACTTTGTGTGTGTTGCATTCACAGTGTGTGAGGCGTGATAATTATGTGAGTGTTGTGTGTAGTGGTGTGTGCTCTGTGTGAGTAAACACAATTAATGGATCTTAGGAGTTATAACAGAGGTTAGTGTACGCATTTATTTGAGAAAGAAAAAAAGAGAGCAGAGAGGATATAAAATCAGAGACTACTTTGTGTATCTCCTTCGTGAGT